AGGGCGTCACTGCTAAGACTGTTTATTTACTTTAATAACATAATTTCTACTAAAATAAGCAGATACAGATTTTATGAACATTTACTAATGGAATTTTAGAATTAATTATTAACAATTTTTTTTAATTGATGCAAAATTTAATAACTCCATTTTTGAAGTCTCATTAGTTTTCCTGTTAATCTTCTCATATTGTTGACAATCAGCTATCTTCATTACAAAATTTTATGGAGCGCCGTTTTGCCAGTTATTAACGTAAAAAGAATTTATTAGACCAAAAATATTGCAACAACAATTATTCACAGGAAAATTACTACCCATAAAAAAAAACTATAATTACGTTAAAGCACAATTTCAATTAAATGACTTCGATTCATAAATATAAAAAATTTAAATTGAAGTTTGTACTGCTCGGAAACAAAATTTTAAGATGATCACTTATTATTATATTACAAAGTTTCAAAGGAATGCCATTTGGTTCTTCATTTATTTTAATTAAAATTCATGGTAATAGTACAATATCAAATAATGGAAAATATAAATTATGTAGGTATAAATTACCTAAATTTCATTCCTGAATTATAAATACATAACTTTAACTCGTATAATTTTATATTTGAAGTAGAATATGCGTTACTTTATTTCATATTCAGGAATGTTTATTTTTGAATTTGCTACTTATCGTTCAACTGAGCCCATGTCATAGCTATCAACGTGGTGGGCACATGCATCCAAAGGATCATAACATTCGAGTTGGTGATCTGGGAAAACCATCAGACATGAAAGTCATTTTCAATTAAAGATACCGATTTATCAAAAGTTGAACCGACCCACAAAGCATAACTTCGCAAAGATCATTGTCAATTATGAATAAAAGCTTAAAAAACCTTTTGGATGTTACATTACCACAACATAATAAAGTTGGTAGGCGAGCAGATTCTCTAGACAACGTCAGAGGGTAGAGCAGAAGGTCCTTCTGATGAATCGTATGAAAATGAAGACAGAAAAGAGGGAAAGTTTAATTATTTACCGAATATTACTGCCCCAGCATTCGCCTAAGTGTTCCAAGGAAACCACAAAAAACTTGGTCAGAGGCAGATAGACCTGGGATCAAACCGATGTCCTCCAGAATGTTAAACAATGTTTTAAACCTCTAAGCCATGCCGCTCGTTGTCAAACTTGAATGAACTTACATTCAATAGTAAATTTCTACATTGACATGCGCCACGTCGTGTATTACGCGTTTAAAGTATTTGTTGTTCCAAGTAACAGTATTAGTTTTAGTTCAGTTCCACAAACATGTATTAACTGCTTTAGAGTTAACGCATGGTCATCACTGGGGATACAGCAAAGAAGAACAGGCAAAATGGAAAGAACACTTCAAGTCGTGTGGAGGTCATCGTCAATCTCCAATTAGTATCAATGAAGCCATTGGCAGAAAAGTTCGCGCTTTAAAACTGGGAAATTACAATGACCCATTACCAGGACCCCTAATGCTGCACAATAACGGTCATACAGGTATGGAAGACGTATTTAACCCATATCAGAATAGTGAAGTTATTTAGGTAGGGGATAATTTGTTAATATCCACACTTAAAATGGAGTCAAACTTCAACAGAAATTTTGACAAGACCAGTTGAGAATAAGTGTTTTATTCACTTTTGTATTTTCAATTTTTGAAATTGAAATACCATTTTGCAGTGGCTCTAGAAATTGCCCATCCTCAACGTAGTCAATCCGTTCCTTATGTAGCTAACGGTTTGTTGACAAAAAGATACCAATTCGAATCTCTTCATTTTCATTGGGGCGAGAAGAATGATTTGGGAGCCGAGCATATCTTACGTGGCAAGAGATATCCGATGGAAATGCATATGGTACATAGAAATAAAAATTATCCCACTATGGAAGAGGCAATGAAGCATGCCGATGGGCTAACAGTTCTTGCCTTTTTTTATAAGGTAATCAGCTGCAACTGCAATTGTATGTACTACATAGTATTCGAAAGAATTTTTCCCATAAATTTAGTATCAAACGTTAAATAAACTTTATTAATGAAAGACATGCAATTGTTAATACAACTTTTTGCATCTCTCATTCATGCAACCATTCATTTAGACAAATTTTAAGTTTCACTTAAATTTCATAATATCTCATATCGATTGAATTGTGTTTCTGTTTTTGTTTAGCTTGATGAAAATGATAACAAACAGCTAGATCAGCTGGTAAAACATCTTCCCCGTGTCTACGCTCCTCACGCAAACATAACCTTAACTGAAACGTTTGCACTAGCATCACTTATACCCTCTAGCGAGAAGAGGCGGAGTTACTTCATGTACAATGGATCTCTTACAACACCGCCGTGTTCAGAAGCTGTCACGTGGATTGTATATTCAAATCCGATGCCTGTATCGGAAGTTCAAGTAATAAAAGATATTTCTTCTGCTCTGAGTAAAAATAGAATTAACAATTTCTAAATTGACGAGAATTGAAGTGAATTCTCGAAAAGAAAAAAAAAACAGTTGCACATTAATTCTTTGGTTCAATTGTTGATCTTCTTTGACCTGTATAAACTGCAAATTTCGGCAGATTTTTTGAGATCTCCTTATCCTTTTTCAAACTATGTATCATTTGTCGTATGGATTTATTTAGTAATATTTTTTTTGTTTAGTTGAACAAATTTCGAAGCATGTTCGGCCATGACTCGCACACAAAATTGATCAACAACTTCAGATATGTACAAGACATTGGTAGCAGAGAAGTTATTGCCCGCATACCTAGACTTTAAATAAGAAACACATCATGGAACCATCAGAACCGTTTTAACCCATGAATGTACAATCAAGTGAAAATCTCTGTCGCAAAATATTACTAATGTGTCATAAAAGCTATACTTGTAGTGTATTTTATATGTAGTGTAAATAAATTGTTGATTACATGCATTTTACATTTTACAAATTGATAATTTCACTGCGGTTGTTCATAATGGAGTCAATGCATTTCCAAAAAAGTGCACCATTGAATGATGATCTCTTCCTAAGAATTCTATTTCTTAACGGAAAGTATAAAAACCCATACAGTTTCATCATCATTATCATAAGGGCGTCACTGCTAAGACTGGTTGAATACGCACCTCCACTCTTTCCTATCCTGAGCTAATCTTCGCATTTCCCTAAAACTAGAACAACCCATATCATTAACTATTTGCGAACAGTAATCTAATCTAGGTCTACATCTACTCCTCCTAATTCCCGTTTCTGCCTCTAATACAATTCTGACTGCTCCTTCATACCTGAGATGGTGTCCTACCAGTCTATCTCGCCTAGTTCTTATTGACTTCCATAGAGTCCTCTGTTTTCCTATTCTTTTTAATACCTTTTCATTTCTAACCTTCTCTATCCACGGTATCCTCATCATTCGCCTATAACACCACACCCGTACAGTGCCGTACTCCAAACATACACCTTTAAAAACCTTTTTCAAATTACTAAATTAACTCTCAATATTGCACCTATCCCTATTGCAATGATTGATGACATCCCCCGAGGTAGTTCCCGCCCGAACATCCGAATGGGGGACTAGTTTACGTCCGGGGTGTTTTACCCCAGAGGATGTCATCATTTGAGTTCAGTTTGTTTTTCTTGGGATATCGTAATGTGGTGGTTTCCCGTTACCTTCCACATTGCAGTATTGTGCATCAGAGTGCCATACCGATCCTCGCGATCTCTGTCATCCTCAGTACTGAAACAGCTGCTGCCCTCTTTGAGGGACTTGTCTTAGTTTGGTTTCTCTTTAAGAACCCTCTCCCCCCATTATGTTTGAACCTAGGGTCCGGCTCCCTAAATCATCAAAACTCGCAATCCGATCCACCCACTCTAGTTTGTACAAGAGTTTCATCAAGGTTCAAGTCCCGTCGGATCGGTAAATGGTGTGGAACGCTTCACGATTTTGCGTGTCGTCTGTATAGGCTAGTGAAAATCATATACCAGTTTAAATGCTCAGATGACGACGTATCGAATCGCTTTTACCCCTAAATGTTCATCCACAAAACGTAAGCAATTGCGGTAAAGCTATGGATTCTGCGTTTTTAATCACGTCTAAATATCAATTGCCCATGCTTTCTCCTTGACCGTAAGGACCATCGTCAGGAACTCATCTTAACGTAGAAGAACTATACTGACTTGTAGGGGGTGGTGGGTTTCTTTATAGGGTCTTATGGTCATTGAATGGTGAAACCTTGTAATTGATGAAAATGAGTTTTAATATTAATTCGAAATGGTCTGTATTCTGTCGAAACTGCCAGACGTGGATCGCGATTTCGATCTTTTTGGATCTCATCAGCGCGTCGCAGGCAGCTCCGACAGAACACAGACCAACTTTTACCTGCTGTCTTAACAGTGCGTTTTAGAAAATACTACAAATGGCGCGGTAAACGCTATCTGTGGCACGTTGCTACATTTTTTTGTTGGAGCATACGTAATCCTAAAATGTAGCATCGTGCTACACATGGCGTTTACCGCGCCATTTGTAGTATTTTCTAAAGAGTTTTAATATGTTGTGATAGCAGTAGCTTTCCCAGAATCCCACGGGCTTCTGGCACTTTTTAGCGTGGCGTGAAGGTTGATGGTGCGGGGAAAGGCTTTCGTTTAAGAAAATGGAAATTATTTGCCGGTTTCTAATTGTTGTTTTGCCAACTCTGAGTTTGCGTTCATGTTCTATGACCCGATATTTGATTAATCGTCAGGTCTCACCGATATAATCTTGGTCACAAAGATGAAGCAATAGACACTTTGACGTTGCCGAGAACCATAATCCAGACGCTTCACCCACCAGTGAAAGCTTAAGAAATTCCAGTCACGAATTATAGGCGTTCTCCTGAGAGTTTCCTCACATTTCAATTGAAAGTCTCAATTCCATGACCATCAAGTCCCGTAAGTTATTTAACAACATTAACAGAAACGTTGGATTTGTTACATTCCTTTCTTCTTTCGTCATACTTATGTACTTCTGAAACTAAATATTGATCCGTTTGTTTTAAATTTACAGACATGATTGTGTCAGAAATACACACTTAGACTTTCGGACTTCCATTCCTTTATGAATTTATTATACAGTTACAACGTTTTAACCGTATAATATCTCAAGTGGTTATCACGCAGCTAATTGTAAGTTTAAAAGTACGAGATTTATATAATTTAGTGATCATGCTGGTGTGCCGTTTCATTTCGGTTGGTTGGGTTGCTGTTCCCGAATTATTATCAACAGTGCTTCCATATGTTGTTAATTTCCACACTTGGATGGCTAAACGTTGATTGTTGTTTCTTTAAATTCACGCCGGAGCCAGTGCTCTTCCTGATGAAGAATCGCTCCCTTCTCCTAATTAACTTGGTGATTTTTTGTTCAGGCGTGCTCTGCTAAGCCGGATCCTGTAGTTTCCTCCTACTTGGGGTATGATAAATGGACTTTTATCCAAGTTTTCCAAAGGATTATTGGTTTCCCCAATGTAAAACTGACCACATTAACATAAACTCTTTGTTTTGCTTTTGTGAGATAGCCACGGTCACCAAATTAGTTTTGAGAAGGCAGGGATTCTCCATCAGGAAGAGCACTGATTTCGGCGTGAATTTATAGAAGTAGCATTCATCCAGAAACAATTAATGTTTAGCAGTCCAAGTGTGGAAATCTGCAACATATGGAAACCGTTGTTGAAAGTATCTGGATAATCACTTCACTATCTTAACGCTTTTGCTTTAAGTTTACGATTAGTTACCTGATGACAACTGGAGATATTATACGGTCGAAATGTTGTAAGAGTATAATAAATAAATAAAGAGATGAAAGTCTGAAAGGCCAAGTGTATTCCGAATTATTGATCCGTTTCGAATTCTTCACCCCGTATATTGCAATGAGTTCTTAAACTTTATAATTATTATCAACTACATTCATTATTATTATAGTTATTATGTTATTACTATAACAACTACCTACAAGTCAATTAAAAAAAAAAGTTTAAAACAAATACCTATTAACGATAAACAAAATAAACCATTATTTTTAAACAAAGACCTTTAGTTCCAGATAGTTGTCAGATGTTGATGCAAGTATGAAGGTAGTGTCACATATGAAGATGTCCTCTTTGTATATGCAAAATGTCTTTATTATCTTATTGACTGGAATATGTAAGTAAAACTGCCAGGATATACAAATACTCTGTTCATTGAATATTTATTCTAATATACTCTATGAAGTTGAAACAATTAAGCAATATGTTAGGTACAAGTTCATTTAATATTTTAAATCAATCAACCACTTCTCATTTCGTTACTTTTAGTATTGATTGTGAACAAAACAATCATTAAAATTAGAAAATTGTGTAATAAACTTTTAATTTCTGTGCATTAGATATTACGTAAGGTATGAGAAATGTTTAAAATATTCAGATTACTTGTTAGATTGGTATATTATCGTGAAAATTTATTTTAAAATAACATAAAGGTACCTAGCATAGAGCAGACATTTTATGAATATCTACAGATCATATACATAGGAATACACAGACAGAACGTACTATGTCATTTAACATGAGTAGAATAAAATTAGTTTTCGTTTAACTGAATTTCTATTATTGTTGCAAAAAAAGGCAATCTCTATGAATAAGAGAATTCCCGAATTTATTAACAACAATGTTTTAATGAAAATATTGCAGTTTATTACAAAATTGAATTAAGTACTACAGTTTTGCTAATATTTTCTATTGTTCTTATTTTCAATTTACGTTTGCGTATGTACGCTCATTGATTTCCGGATTTCCCTGAATTAACAACAAAACTCAATTTTATCCAAAATTCCACAAATACTTTTAAAAACCCTAATATTTTATCTCGAATCCGCGTATTACATTTTTCAAACGTATTTTGTGGAATTTTGCCTAGCATAGAGCAGACATTTTATGAATATCTACAGATCATGTACATAGGAATACAAAGAGAGAACGTACTATGTCTTAAGAGATGCGGCGAGTGATGACTCCAAGGAACCATAGGCGAAGGTTATACAGTGGTGCCTATATTTCAATGAAATGAAATGCTGATAATCCTAAATGTTCCGTTTCTACACGTATGCTTTAAAAGTAGGCAACATAACAAAAACGAAACTGTTTTAATAAAAAGGGGTAATTTATTATGAAAAGGTAGCCACTGAATAGTTACAGCAATTAAAGTAGTCAAAGGTTGTTCTAAACACACTCAATTAAAGCCAGTTCAATTCAAGGAAATAAATTCCAACTACAAGCTTTATTATGAAAATTGGCTATTTGACATGTGGATGGTTCATATGCCTACTTAATTTGTAGTATAAACTTCTGGCATCCCTAAATCAAGTAATCATTTAACATGAGTAGAATAAAATTAGTTTTCGTTTAACTGAATTTCTATTATTGTTGCAAAAAAAGGCAATCTCTATGAATAAGAGAATTCCCGAATTTATTAACAACAATGTTTTAATGAAAATATTGCAGTTTATTACAAAATTGAATTAAGTACTACAGTTTTGCTAATATTTTCAATTGTTCTTATTTTCAATTTACGTTTGCGTATGTACGCTCATTGATTTCCGGATTTCCCTGAATTAACAACAAAACTCAATTTTATCCAAAATTCCACAAATACTTTTAAAAACACTAATATTTTATCTCGAATCCGCGTATTACATTTTTCAAACGTATTTTGTGGAATTCTGCCCAAAATTGTACTGTTCTTTTCTTCAATTCCACAGAGATCTATTTTCTTTTTCACGTAATATACAACTTATTGTTTAATTACTAACTTTTGTTTAAGAAAGTGTTATTTAAAAGGTGTTTCAAGTACATCGCATGACCACTGGGGGTACAGCAGCGAGGAACAGGCTAAATGGAAAGACAACTACAAATCGTGCGGAGGTGATTCGCAATCTCCAATTGCAATCGATAGTTCGAAGACAGTTCCTATGAATATGTCTGCTTTAGAACTGATATACTATGATTCACCCTTACCCGGTCCCCTACAACTACATAATAATGGTCATACAGGTATCTATAAATAAACCATTAATCCAAATAGAAAGGTTGAAGCTATTATCTAAATAGTAATTCATTGCTATTCACATCAAAATAAAAACGATTTTTGTTCATGAAATCAAAAAACAACAATAAATAATAAAATCCATTTATCGCTCCTAAAAACAATTTAATGTCATTCTTGTTTTATGGGTTACAATAGAGAAAACGATAGAAAAAGGAAAGAGTGTGTACATAGGATTTATAGATTTAGAAAAAGCTTTTGACAGTGTTATATGGAGCAAGATGTTAAATATATTTAAAAATTAGATGAGTTACAGAAATAGAAGAGTGATACTTAGTTTGTATAAAGAACAACAGGCAGTCACAGAGCTGGAGCTGCAACGTCGATAAGTGAATATTAGGAAGCGAGTCAGACCTGTCACCGCTACTTCTTAATCTACACATCGAACATGCAATGAACATCATTAAACACAAATAGTACAACTGTAGGGATAGATATACAGGGGCAAAAGATCAGTATGCTTAGATTTGCAGATGATATAGCAGTATAAGCATTTAGCAAGAAGGAGTTAGAGATACCTTTAAATAAAATGAAGGCGGTATTTACAAAACAGTATTGTATGAAAATAAATAAAAGTAAAACAAAAATACTGGTTTGCAAGGGAAGAAACGGTAGAGAAACAGCACATGCAAAGATAGTAGACGAAAAATTAGAAGGATTATAAGAATCTATAGGAAGTCAGATAAGTCAGGACGGAAGTAGTAGGAATATAAAGCAGAGGATAGCGTAGGGTCGAGTAGCCTTCAATAAAAAGAAGTCACTTCTGTGCTCGCGAATGGTTAATTTAGAAATTCGAAAAATATTGTTAAAGGTGTATGTATGGAGTGCGGCGCTGTAGGGGTACGAAACATGAACGGTTAGAAGAGTTCGAAATGTGGTGTTACAAGCGAGCGATGAGGATATCGTGGATGGAGAGGGTTAGAAATGAAGGGGTATTAGAAAGAATAGGAGAACAGTGGACTCTATGGAATCCATAGGCGAGATGGGTTGGTAGGACACCTTCTCAGGTATGAAGGTACAGTCAGAAACGTATTAGGGACGGAAACGGGATTTAGGAGGGGTAGAGGTAGACCTAGATTAGATTACTTGTCGTAAATAGTTAAGGATGTGGGTTGTTCCAATTTTAGGGAAATGTGAAGATTATTACAAGATAGGAAAGAGTGGAGGTACGTGTCCAACCAGTCTTGGGCCTAACGATCTTATGATAATGAGAGATATAGGAAGATTATGAAACATCGTCAATAATAAATAAATATTAAACACAAAATAAAGCTTTTCGACAGAGCTTGGTTATAGAGTCATTTGGGAAACACAATCATGGGGTCCACACAAAACAAAACCAAAGGCGGGTAACTAACATTTCATCGTGCCCATTTGGCGTGGGTTTGAACGGTAAATTTTCGAGTTTTTTAAAAGTTTTAAAAAAACATAAAGACAAGGGAAAAGGATACGTACCTTGCTCTCAATACCACGTGCAATATTTGTTATTTCGTGCTTATATACGAGGGTGGATTGATAAGTTTCCGGCCTGACCAAGAAAAACAAGGTTTTTAAAAATTTTTTTTTTNATCATAATAACGTCGTCAGTCCTAAATACTGGTTAGACACACACCTCCTCTCTTTTCTATCCTGAGCATTTCCACAAAACGAGAACAATCCATATCCTTAATTATTTGCTCATCATCATAATAAGGTCGTTCGTCTTAAGACTGGTTGGACACGTACCGCCACTCTTTCCTATCCTGCGCATTTCCCCAAAGCTAGAAAAAAAACTCTTGGGTGTTTCATTCCCACCAGCCAGTAATGCTGGTGGGCGGGCAGTTCCTCCGGACTACGCCGGAAGGTAGGGCGGAAGGCCCTCTTCAGCCTGCTTTCAGGAATCATGAAAATGGGTGGGTGGTGGTTCGCGTGAGAAAGATGAGACGGACGAAATGAAGACAGAAGAGAATGAAAGATTATCTGTGGAATATCACTACCCCAGCATTTACCGAAGTGGTCCAAGGAAACCACAGAAAAACTTGGACCAAGGCAGACGGACCCGGAATCGAACCGGCGTCCTCCCGAATCCTAAGCAATGGTCTAAACCTCTAGGCCATGCCGCTCGGTTCCAAAGCTAGAGCAACCCATATCCTTAAATATTTACGAACTGTAATCTACTCTAGGTCTACCTCTACCTCTCCTAACTTCCGTTTCTGCATCTAATATGTCTCTGACTAGACCTTCATGCTTGAGAAGGTGTCCTACCAACCTATCTCACTTAATTCTTATTGACTTCCAGAGTCCTCTGTTCTCCTATTCTTTCTTATATCTCTTCATTTCTAACCTTCTCTATCCACGGTATCCTCATCATTCGCGGGTTACAGCACATTTCGAACACTTCTAACCTTTTCTCAAGTCATTGTTAATATTTTTAATATTTATTTGTATTTGTTAACTTGTCCCGAAAATGCAAATTTCTGTAGCCCTTTTCAGATCTCCCTATTTTTTCGTCTGCTGCTTCATCTAACACCGGAATATACTGTAATATTTTTTTTGTTTAGGTGAACAAATTTCGAAGTATGTTAACTCACGACAACCACACAAGACTGACATGTAACTTCAGATGTTTGCAAAAAATAAATACAAGATCAATTTTCTATCGCAAATCTTCCTCACAAAGGAGGAATTCCAACCCCTTCAGCCATCGAGGTTCCATTCACCTTTAAATATTCGGTTCTACATGCTCTATCTCATCATGTACTGTGCAAGTGCAAATCTCTGTAGCAGGACACTACCATGTCTTAGCTCTAAAGTGTAAAACTTTTGTAATCAGCTGTAGCTTCCTTTCTGCTTTAACAAATATATTGTAACGAATTATTTTTTAACATGTACGTCAATTGATTTGTCTTGGTATATACAGGGCGTTCCACCTAGGGCGGTTTCGTCTACAACTCTGTTATTATGCATTTAATAAAACAAATGTTTTGATAAAAGTGATCATAAAATAACAGGATACATGTGATCACCATCTAAAATGCATACAGTTTAGGTTCCGAACATGCTTTCAATGAGAAGAAATTTACTATGGAAATGCATCTGGTCCATCGAAATAAAAAATTTCTAGGTATGGAAGAAGCATTGGATCATACCGACGGGCTAACAGTTCTTGCGTTCTTTTTTCAGGTAATAAAATACATATAACTGTGAAAAAGATATTCAGCAATTCTTTAACTAATAAGTTGTAAAGAATTATCTACTGAAAATTGCCACAAATAGAAAAAAATATATTCGCATTCATTACTACGACGAGTTTTGGTCGAATAGCATGAAAGTCATAACACAAATTTCTATATGCAATCTTTCTGTGTTTGCCACAACGCGTAGTGGGCGCTTTTATGAAACCTATTATATGAATCTTGCGATGTGGATGCATTTTTAGTGACCACAACGTGTTCTGAGATAAAGAAATGGTGTTGTTAACGTAATAGGAATACATGTGATCACTTTCTAAAATGCACACGGCTCAAAAAGCGTTGTGAGTTTTCTTCATTCTTACAAAGCGTTGTGTTTGGTAAATGTCTAGATGATGGCCCCCACCCCCGAAGGGTGTGGGATCGAATGAGGGGTCTCCCCCACCACTGTACCATAAAAAGTTCGTGGCGGTCTCACCCCCATACAACGTTATGGGGGTTAGATGGGGGTGGGTGTAGGGGAGATCGAAAGAGGGAGTGGTCATCTGAGTAAAACCCCATAAAAAAATCCCGGCGGTCTCATTATGGGGTTTGAAAGTTGATTATTTTCACAATTTTCATACACTATAATTCAAATAAAATTTAATAAAAAAAATAATTTCAAGCGGGTGGAGGTGGGGGATCGAAAGAGGGTGGTCACTTGAACAAAATCCGATAACCTTACCTAGCCTAGCCTAACCTACCCTATTGACGAAGATATTTAAATAATGTTTTATATAACTTCCTCAATATTTTTATGTATTTTTCCATTAGTTTTACCTTTGAATATTGTTTAAGAATGACTATAAATATTTACATGCCTAGAAATGTATAAAAATTGGCATATATATTAACTTTGATCCCCCATAACTTTGTGGCGATATCCACCACATGTTTGAAAATTGTTTCTTTTTGTGTACATATTGTAAATACCTATCTAAAATATTTCTTTTCTGTTTTCGATTAGGGTCTATAAAAATTCCTTCCTTTCGTAAATAATTGTATCTTTCTTATCTATTTAAATAACTCTATTACTGTAAATTCCTATAATCCCTGTAACATTTCATCTTTCGTGTACTAACCGCATGACGTCGGTACCTTTCATTCCTTCCTAATTACATTTTTACAATCGGTTTCTTCGGTGGTTGACCGGCCATCAATTTCTTGGTATTTCTAATCTTAAAGTTTCCATATTTTAATGCTTCCCTAGTCGTATCTACTACCCTCTCTATTCCTTCCTTGTAGAACAGTTTTTCATTTTTCATAAAATGCCAAATCAGTTCGTCTTACGCCTTAGGCAGAACAAGTCTCTTCTCTTCTCCTTTCGTTACGCCAGTTGTTGTTAAGTTGTAAATATATGTTGTTGTTATCTAGTTTTAGTTATTCGTTTTCTCCTCAAAACCTTCTATAACGAAGTAACCCAAACAAACTACAACAACTTTTTATGGGGGTGAGACCGCCACGAACTTTTTATGGTACAGTGGTGGGGGAGACCTCCTCTTTCGATCCCCCCCATCCTCACCCCCAAGGGGTGAAGGCCATCAACTAGACCTTTACCTTGTATTTAAATAGTATGATACTCAGGACACGAATTTCACTATATCGTCTTCTCTGTATTTGCCACAACACGTTCTGAGTTGTTTTCTTGCTTCATGAGTGTTTTGGTTCCTTGAGCCTACCATTATTAGGTAAGTAAGCACATTGCTTTCAAAGAAATGGGTAGGGAACATTTAATTTTATGAAATTCTTTGAATCGCTTGCTTAAGATACATTGCTATTCCTTCAATCTAAAGTATAAGCCCACAACAAACGAAATAAGTTTAGTTGTTGTGACGCACCAGGAGTGAACAATTATTTCATCAGTCTTTAGAGTTACATTGGAACAGTCACGTCCACATTAAAATATGATTTTAATAATGACGGTTGTGTATTTGCTGTATGTGGTAAATTCTCCATAAAATCATATTTATAGAATTGTTCTTCTGCTTTTGTTTAGATTAGTGAAAAAGAAAACAAACCGCTGAATCAAATTTTGAGACATCTACCTCGAGTATACCATTCCGATGCGAGAGTTTTTTTCACTTCAACTTTTACGCTAGCATCTATTTTGCCTAAGCCTAAGAATATGAAAAGATTCTACATGTACACAGGATCTCTGACAACACCGCCGTGTTCAGAAGCTGTCACATGGATTGTATTTCCAAATCCGATGCCTGTATCAAACAAACAAGTAATAAATAATATTCCTTCTGTCTCGGCGAGAAGTAGAGAGATCTGAATTTAGGAAAAAATAACATGGTCACCAGGTTAAGGTTCGCAGATATCTAAAATGATCACCGTAGATCTCCTCAGATCTACAACTTTGTCATCACGATTTTCGAAGATTATTTTAGAACCATTAGATAAGTACTTTAGGTCACCAACAATGCACAATTACTGATATTACTCAAATCATCCTCATCATCATAATAACGTCGTCAGTCCTAAATACTGGTTAGACACACACCTCCTCTCTTTTCTATCCTGAGCATTTCCACAAAACGAGAACAATCCATATCCTTAATTATTTGCTCATCATCATAATAAGGTCGTTCGTCTTAAGACTGGTTGGACACGTACCGCCACTCTTTCCTATCCTGCGCATTTCCCCAAAGCTAGAAAAAAAACTCTTGGGTGTTTCATTCCCACCAGCCAGTAATGCTGGTGGGCGGGCAGTTCCTCCGGACTACGCCGGAAGGTAGGGCGGAAGGCCCTCTTCAGCCTGCTTTCAGGAATCATGAAAATGGGTGGGTGGTGGTTCGCGTGAGAAAGATGAGACGGACGAAATGAAGACAGAAGAGAATGAAAGATTATCTGTGGAATATCACTACCCCAGCATTTACCGAAGTGGTCCAAGGAAACCACAGAAAAACTTGGACCAAGGCAGACGGACCCGGAATCGAACCGGCGTCCTCCCGAATCCTAAGCAATGGTCTAAACCTCTAGGCCATGCCGCTCGGTTCCAAAGCTAGAGCAACCCATATCCTTAAATATTTACGAACTGTAATCTACTCTAGGTCTACCTCTACCTCTCCTAACTTCCGTTTCTGCATCTAATATGTCTCTGACTAGACCTTCATGCTTGAGAAGGTGTCCTACCAACCTATCTCACTTAATTCTTATTGACTTCCAGAGTCCTCTGTTCTCCTATTCTTTCTTATATCTCTTCATTTCTAACCTTCTCTATCCACGGTATCCTCATCATTCGCGGGTTACAGCACATTTCGAACACTTCTAACCTTTTCTCAAGTCATTGTTANAGTTTTCTTCATTGCTATAAAGCGTTGTGGTTGTATACCATTACAATCACAACACAAATTTCACCATATCATGTTTCTTTCTTTGCCGCAACGCATCATGGGCGCTTTTATAACATTTATAACACGCATTTTGCGATGTGGATGTTTTCAGTGACCACAACGTGTTTTGAGATAATGAAATGGTGTTAATAAAATAACAGGATACATGTGATCACCATCTAAAATGCATACACTTATTGAGAAAATGTGTTCAGTTGTAGTATTAAGATCAAGTTCGGCTCAGAAAGTGTCGAGAGTTTTCTTCATTGCTATAAAGCGTTGTGGTTGTATACCATTACAATCACAACACAAATTTCACCATATCATGTTTCTTTCTTTGCCGCAACGCATCATGGGCGCTTTTATAACATTTATAACACGCATTTTGCGATGTGGATGTTTTCAGTGACCACAACGTGTTTTGAGATAATGAAATGGTGTTAATAAAATAACAGGATACATGTGATCACCATCTAAAATGCATACACTTATTGAGAAAATGTGTTCAGTTGTAGTATTAAGATCAAGTTCGGCTCAGAAAGTGTCGAGAGTTTTCTTCATTGCTATAAAGCGTTGTGGTTGTATACCATTACAATCACAACACAAATTTCACCATATCATGTTTCTTTCTTTGCCGCAACGCATCATGGGCGCTTTTATAACATTTATAACACGCATTTTGCGATGTGGATGTTTTCAGTGACCACAACGTGTTTTGAGATAATGAAATGGTGTTAATAAAATAACAGGATACATGTGATCACCATCTAAAATGCATACACTTATTGAGAAAATGTGTTCAGTTGTAGTATTAAGATCAAGTTCGGCTCAGAAAGTGTCGAGAGTTTTCTTCATTGCTATAAAGCGTTGTGGTTGTATACCATTACAATCACAACACAAATTTCACCATATCATGTTTCTTTCTTTGCCGCAACGCATCATGGGCGCTTTTATAACATTTATAACACGCATTTTGCGATGTGGATGTTTTCAGTGACCACAACGTGTTTTGAGATAATGAAATGGTGTTAATAAAATAACAGGATACATGTGATCACCATCTAAAATGCATACACTTATTGAGAAAATGTGTTCAGTTGTAGTATTAAGATCAAGTTCGGCTCAGAAAGTGTCGAGAGTTTTCTTCATTGCTATAAAGCGTTGTGGTTGTATACCATTACAATCACAACACAAATTTCACCATATCATGTTTCTTTCTTTGCCGCAACGCATCATGGGCGCTTTTATAACATTTATAACACGCATTTTGCGATGTGGATGTTTTCAGTGACCACAACGTGTTTTGAGATAATGAAATGGTGTTAATAAAATAACAGGATACATGTGATCACCATCTAAAATGCATACACTTATTGAGAAAATGTGTTCAGTTGTAGTATTAAGATCAAGTTCGGCTCAGAAAGTGTCGAGAGTTTTCTTCATTGCTATAAAGCGTTGTGGTTGTATACCATTACAATCACAACACAAATTTCACCATATCATGTTTCTTTCTTTGCCGCAACGCATCATGGGCGCTTTTATAACATTTATAACACGCATTTTGCGATGTGGATGTTTTCAGTGACCACAACGTGTTTTGAGATAATGAAATGGTGTTAATAAAATAACAGGATACATGTGATCACCATCTAAAATGCATACACTTATTGAGAAAATGTGTTCAGTTGTAGTATTAAGATCAAGTTCGGCTCAGAAAGTGTCGAGAGTTTTCTTCATTGCTATAAAGCGTTGTGGTTGTATACCATTACAATCACAACACAAATTTCACCATATCATGTTTCTTTCTTTGCCGCAACGCATCATGGGCGCTTTTATAACATTTATAACACGCATTTTGCGATGTGGATGTTTTCAGTGACCACAACGTGTTTTGAGATAATGAAATGGTGTTAATAAAATAACAGGATACATGTGATCACCATCTAAAATGCATACACTTATTGAGAAAATGTGTTCAGTTGTAGTATTAAGATCAAGTTCGGCTCAGAAAGTGTCGAGAGTTTTCTTCATTGCTATAAAGCGTTGTGGTTGTATACCATTACAATCACAACACAAATTTCACCATATCATGTTTCTTTCTTTGCCGCAACGCATCATGGGCGCTTTTATAACATTTATAACACGCATTTTGCGATGTGGATGTTTTCAGTGACCACAACGTGTTTTGAGATAATGAAATGGTGTTAATAAAATAACAGGATACATGTGATCACCATCTAAAATGCATACACTTATTGAGAAAATGTGTTCAGTTGTAGTATTAAGATCAAGTTCGGCTCAGAAAGTGTCGAGAGTTTTCTTCATTGCTATAAAGCGTTGTGGTTGTATACCATTACAATCACAACACAAATTTCACCATATCATGTTTCTTTCTTTGCCGCAACGCATCATGGGCGCTTTTATAACATTTATAACACGCATTTTGCGATGTGGATGTTTTCAGTGACCACAACGTGTTTTGAGATAATGAAATGGTGTTAATAAAATAACAGGATACATGTGATCACCATCTAAAATGCATACACTTATTGAGAAAATGTGTTCAGTTGTAGTATTAAGATCAAGAGGTATAAGGGTAGTGTCACATATGAAGATGTCTTCCTTGTATATGCAAAATGTCTTTATTATCTTATTGACTGGAATAAGTAAGTAAAACTGCCAGGATATACAAATACTCTGTTCATTGAATATTTATTGTAATATACTCTATGAAGTTGAAACAATTAAGCAATATGTTAGGTACAAATTCATTTAATATTTTAAATCAATCAACCACTTCTCATTTCGTTACTTTTAGTATTGATTGTGAACAAAACAATCATTAAAATTAGAAAATTGTGTAATAAACTTTTAATTTCTGTGCATTAGATATTACGTAAGGTATGAGAAATGTTTAAAATATTCAGATTACTTGTTAGATTGGTATATTATCGTGAAAATTTATTTTAAAATAACATAAAGGTACCTAGCATAGAGCAGACATTTTATGAATATCTACAGATCATATACATAGGAATACACAGACAGAACGTACTATGTCATTTAACATGAGTAGAATAAAATTAGTTTTCGTTTAACTGAATTTCTATTATTGTTGCAAAAAAGAGGCAACCTCTATGAACTAGGAATAAGAGAATTCCCGAATTTATTAACAATAATGTTTTAATGAAAATATTGCATTTATTACAAAATTGAATTAAGTACTACAGTTTTGCTAATATTTTCCATTGTTCTTATTTTCAATTTACGTTTGCGTATGTACGCTTATTGATTTCCGGATTTCCCTGAATTAACAACAAAACTCAATTTTATCCAAAATTCCACAAATACTTTTAAAAACACTAATATTTTATCTCGAATCCGCGTATTACATTTTTCAAACGTATTTTGTGGAATTTTGCCCAAAATTGTACTGTTCTCTTCTTCAGTTCCACAGAGATCTATTTTCTTTTTCACGTAATATACAACTTATTGTTTAATTACTAACTTTTGTTTAACTATGAAAGTGTTATTTAAAAGGTGTTTCAAGTACATCGCATGACCACTGGGGGTACAGCAGGGAGGAACAGGCTAAATGGAAAGACAACTACAAATCGTGCGGAGGTGATTCGCAATCTCCAGTTGCAATCTATAGTTCGAAGAGCATTCCTATGAATATGTCTGCTTTAGAACTGATACACTATCGTGATCCCTTACCCGGTCCCCTAAAACTACATAATAATGGTCATACAGGTATCTGTTAACAAACCATTAATCCAAATAGAAAGGTTGAAGCCATTAATTAAATAGTAATTCATGATTCCACAATTTGAAATCAAAAGCAATTAACAATAAATAATAAAATCCATTTGTCGTTTCTAAAAACAATTTAAATGTCATTTCTGCTTTACGGGTAATAATAGAAAAAACGATAGAAAAAAGGAAGAGTGCGTACACAGGATTTGTTCATTCGGAAAAAGCTTTTAACAATGTTATATTATATGATAACTAAGGTGTTAAATATACTTAAAAATGTAGAGATGAGTTACAGAGATAGAAGAGTGATACTTAGTTTGTATAAAGAGCAACAGGCAGTTATTGAGCTGTATAGGAAAATTATGAAACATCGTCAATAGTTAATAAATAAATATTAAACATAAAATAAAGCTNAGTGACCACAACGTGTTTTGAGATAATGAAATGGTGTTAATAAAATAACAGGATACATGTGATCACCATCTAAAATGCATACACTTATTGAGAAAATGTGTTCAGTTGTAGTATTAAGATCAAGTTCGGCTCAGAAAGTGTCGAGAGTTTTCTTCATTGCTATAAAGCGTTGTGGTTGTATACCATTACAATCACAACACAAATTTCACCATATCATTATATGTTTACATTTTGGTTATTTGGTAAAATTTCACGATAGATTTTAACAAGAAACATAAAGACAAGGCCTTGCCCTAAATAATAAAGAACACTTTGCAGTTGTTCTGACTATTGGCCCTGAGTCACGTCACAGACGTGTTCCCTATATATTTGGAGGTATGTTGGCAGATGAATACGTCTTCGAAAGCCTTCACTTCCATTGGGGTGACGTGAACAGTTTAGGTTCCGAACATGAATTCAATGACGTGAAGTTTACTATGGAAATGCATCTGGTCCATAGAAATAAAAAATTTCAAAATATAGAAGAAGCATCGCATGATCCCAAAGGGCTAGCAGTTCTTGCTTTCTTTTTTCAGGTAATAAAATACATGTAACTGTGAAAAAGATATTCAGCAATTCTTTAACAGATGAGTTGCAGAAGAATTATCTACTGAAAATTGCCACAAATAGAAAGAAATATGTTTGAATTCATTGCTACGACTCCTTGTGGTCGAATAGCGTGATACTCATAACACAAATTTCGCTATATCATGTTTCTATATTTTCCGCAACGCATCATGGGCGCTTTTATAACATTTATAACATGCATTTTGCGATGTGGATGTTTTCAGTGACCACAACGTGTTTTGAGATAAAGAAATGGTGTTAATAAAATAACAGGATACATGTGATCACCATCTAAAATGCATACACATATTGAGAAAATGTGTTCAGTTGTAGTATTAAGATCAAGTTCGGCTCAGAAAGTGTCGAGAGTTTTCTTCATTGCTATAAAGCGTTGTGGTTGTATACCATTACAATCACAACACAAATTTCACCATATCATGTTTCTTTCTTTGCCGCAACGCATCATGGGCGCTTTTATAACATTTATAACACGCATTTTGCGATGTGGATGTTTTCAGTGACCACAACGTGTTTTGAGATAATGAAATGGTGTTAATAAAATAACAGGATACATGTGATCACCATCTAAAATGCATACACTTATTGAGAAAATGTGTTCAGTTGTAGTATTAAGATCAAGTTCGGCTCAGAAAGTGTCGAGAGTTTTCTTCATTGCTATAAAGCGTTGTGGTTGTATACCATTACAATCACAACACAAATTTCACCATATCATGTTTCTTTCTTTGCCGCAACGCATCATGGGCGCTTTTATAACATTTATAACACGCATTTTGCGATGTGGATGTTTTCAGTGACCACAACGTGTTTTGAGATAATGAAATGGTGTTAATAAAATAACAGGATACATGTGATCACCATCTAAAATGCATACACTTATTGAGAAAATGTGTTCAGTTGTAGTATTAAGATCAAGTTCGGCTCAGAAAGTGTCGAGAGTTTTCTTCATTGCTATAAAGCGTTGTGGTTGTATACCATTACAATCACAACACAAATTTCACCATATCATGTTTCTTTCTTTGCCGCAACGCATCATGGGCGCTTTTATAACATTTATAACACGCATTTTGCGATGTGGATGTTTTCAGTGACCACAACGTGTTTTGAGATAATGAAATGGTGTTAATAAAATAACAGGATACATGTGATCACCATCTAAAATGCATACACTTATTGAGAAAATGTGTTCAGTTGTAGTATTAAGATCAAGTTCGGCTCAGAAAGTGTCGAGAGTTTTCTTCATTGCTATAAAGCGTTGTGGTTGTATACCATTACAATCACAACACAAATTTCACCATATCATGTTTCTTTCTTTGCCGCAACGCATCATGGGCGCTTTTATAACATTTATAACACGCATTTTGCGATGTGGATGTTTTCAGTGACCACAACGTGTTTTGAGATAATGAAATGGTGTTAATAAAATAACAGGATACATGTGATCACCATCTAAAATGCATACACTTATTGAGAAAATGTGTTCAGTTGTAGTATTAAGATCAAGTTCGGCTCAGAAAGTGTCGAGAGTTTTCTTCATTGCTATAAAGCGTTGTGGTTGTATACCATTACAATCACAACACAAATTTCACCATATCATGTTTCTTTCTTTGCCGCAACGCATCATGGGCGCTTTTATAACATTTATAACACGCATTTTGCGATGTGGATGTTTTCAGTGACCACAACGTGTTTTGAGATAATGAAATGGTGTTAATAAAATAACAGGATACATGTGATCACCATCTAAAATGCATACACTTATTGAGAAAATGTGTTCAGTTGTAGTATTAAGATCAAGTTCGGCTCAGAAAGTGTCGAGAGTTTTCTTCATTGCCATAAAGCGTTGTGGTTGTATACCATTACAGTCACAACACAAATTTCGCCATATCATGTTTCTATATTTGCCGCAACGCATCATGGGCGCTTTTATAAGATTTATAACACGATTTTTGCGATGTGGATGTTTTTCAGTGACCACAACGTGTTCTGAGATAAAGAAATTGTGTGTTTTTTTTTATGGTGGGTTTTCTTTATTTTTACAAACCGTTGTGTTCAAATAGTATCAGGACACGAATTTCGCGATGTTGTCTTTTCTGTATTTGCCGCAACGCGTTTTGACTTGTTTTCTTGCTCCGTGAGTATTTTGGTTCATTGAGCCTTCCATTATTAGGTAAGTAAGCACATTGCTTTCAAAGAAATGGGCAGGGAACATTTACTTCTATGAAATTCTTTGAATCGCTTGCTTAAGATACTATTGCTACTGCTCCAATCTAAACCCACAACAAACAATCTAAATTTAAAATAATTCGATGAGGTCTGTATTCTGTCGAAACTACCTGACGCGGATCGCGATTTCGATCTTTTTGGATCTCATCAGCGCGTTGCAGACAGCTCCGACAGAACACAGACCAACTTTTACCTGCTGTCTTAACAGCGCGTTTTAGAAAATACCACAAATGGCGCGGTAAACGTCATCTGTAGTACGATGCAACATTTTTAGGATTACATATGCTCCAACAAAGTCCACTTGGCAGTTTCGACAGAAGACAGACCACTTCGATTATGGTAACGTGTCTATCACGTTGAGGTTAGCTACGCCGGGATTCGTTTCAACAAGTAGATATACACACAAGTGGACGATGTTGGTGCATACGTAATCCTAAAAATGTAGCATCGTACTACAGATGGCGTTCACCGCGCCATTTGAGGTACTTTCTAAAATGTAAGTTTACTTATTGTGACGCACCATGAGGGAACAATTATTTTATCAGTCTTTTAGAGTTGAACATAGTCACGTTCCCACTTAAATATGATTTCAATGATGACGGTTGTGTATTTGCTGTATGTAGTAAATTATCCATTAAATCATATTGATAGAATTCTTCTTCTCCTTTTGTTTAGCTTCGTGAAAAAGAAAATAAACCGCTGAATCACATTGTGAGACATCTGCCACGAGTATACGAATCCGATGCGAGTTTTGTTTTGAATGAAACTTTGACGCTAGCATCTATTTTGCCTAGCTTTAGGAAAATGGGCAGATTCTACATGTACCCAGGATCTCTTACAACACCGCCGTGTTCAGAAGCTGTCATGTGGGTTGTATTTTCAAATCCGATGCCTGTATCAGACGAACAAGTAATAAAAAATTTCCTTCTATCTCGGCAAGAAGTAGAGAGATCTGAATTTAGGAAAAAATAAGATGGTCACCAGGTTAAGGTTTGCGGATATCTAAAATGATCACCGTAGATCTCCTCAGATTTTGTAATCACGTTATTCAAAGATTATTTTAGAACCGTTAGATAGGTACTTCAGGTCAAGAACAATGCCCAATTACTGATATTACTCAAATAATCATCATCATCATAATAACGTCGTCAGTCCTAAGACTGGTTGGACACGCACCTCCTCTCTCAAAACTAGAACAATCCATATCCTTAACTATTTGCCAGCACTAATCTAATCTAGGTCTACNGGTCTACCTCTACCTCTCCTAACTTCCGTTTCTGCATCTAATATGTCTCTGACTAGACCTTCATGCTTGAGAAGGTGTCCTACCAACCTATCTCACTTAATTCTTATTGACTTCCAGAGTCCTCTGTTCTCCTATTCTTTCTTATATCTCTTCATTTCTAACCTTCTCTATCCACGGTATCCTCATCATTCGCGGGTTACAGCACATTTCGAACACTTCTAACCTTTTCTCAAGTCATTGTTAATATTTTTAATATTTATTTGTATTTGTTAACTTGTCCCGAAAATGCAAATTTCTGTAGCCCTTTTCAGATCTCCCTATTTTTTCGTCTGCTGCTTCATCTAACACCGGAATATACTGTAATATTTTTTTTGTTTAGGTGAACAAATTTCGAAGTATGTTAACTCACGACAACCACACAAGACTGACATGTAACTTCAGATGTTTGCAAAAAATAAATACAAGATCAATTTTCTATCGCAAATCTTCCTCACAAAGGAGGAATTCCAACCCCTTCAGCCATCGAGGTTCCATTCACCTTTAAATATTCGGTTCTACATGCTCTATCTCATCATGTACTGTGCAAGTGCAAATCTCTGTAGCAGGACACTACCATGTCTTAGCTCTAAAGTGTAAAACTTTTGTAATCAGCTGTAGCTTCCTTTCTGCTTTAACAAATATATTGTAACGAATTATTTTTTAACATGTACGTCAATTGATTTGTCTTGGTATATACAGGGCGTTCCACCTAGGGCGGTTTCGTCTACAACTCTGTTATTATGCATTTAATAAAACAAATGTTTTGATAAAAGTGATCTGAAATCATATGGTGCATATACAGGAAATATTATCAGTCACCCAGGGTGTTCCCTTCTTTCTAACTTTGTTATTTTAAATGGAACACTCGGTTTCTCAAGGCAATGTAGGCAAAATGGGTCTCATTTTTGTAATACAACCTTCACTGCCAGAGAAACTTAGTCCAGACCTTTACCGGAAGGATTCCAGCGGACACAAGTTGATAACTTCCGACAAAAATCCTTTTTACATCCCATATAATACACTTTACTTTTCCTAGAGGTTAATATTTGATATTAATTTGAAAATTCATTCTTAATTTTTACCCCCTATACATTAGCTCTAATTAATGAAGAAAAATTGATGCTGTTGTCACACCCTCGCCGGGAGTCGAACCCGGGACCTTTGGCTTCACGCACCAATAACCTGATCGCTAAGCTACGAAAGGTGACAACAACAACAACAAAAAAAAGTCGTGTTAGGTACACTATTTATAATTCAATAACGGCTAAACCAATTTCTATCCTGTGCCCATGGGTGGGTGGAGTGGTGAAGAAGAGTTGCAATGTTTAAATGGAATATAATATATTATTTGTCGTCAGATTTATTTGAAACTTGTTCTTAATGGTCTCTCACTTAATTTCTGGAAGACCTATCTCGACATTTTAAAAACTTCAACCTCCAAAGGGAGGGGGGTAAAAAGATGTTGCAATTTTTGTTTGGGATATACTTTATTTGTGTTTGAATTTACTTGAAACTTGGTTTATATGCTGTTTGATATTATTAATCAAGTGAAAAGAGGTTGCAACGTTTCCATGGGGTATATTTTATTTGTACTCGGATTTACTCGAATGTTGCTCATTGTTGAAATTAAGCAAATACGTGTTTTGACAATTTTTAAAAATTAACCATTAAGGATGAAATGTTATTGCTACGTCTGTACTTGAAATCTAAGATGGCGACATTGCATAACATTAAAACGTTGTAAGAGTGAATTGGGAGTTAAAAGGTTTTATCAAGAAACAATATTAATTTCTACGAGCGAAACCGCGGGGAATAGCTATTTTTATATTATAAACGCATTTATGGAACTGCATTAGGATTTGTTTCAAGGTGCTTCACCCCTGTTCGCATTCATTTGGTGCAATAGGTTTTTAAAATTAATTACTTTGATCTCAACCTATGTTTAATCAGAATTCTCCAATAAGCAAGTTAATTAAAAGAAGAACTACATAATTCTTTCGGTACCTACAATTTAATTATTTCAGTGTTGAGTGTACTTCCGCGTCCGCAAAAATTTACTATTTACCTCTCTATCCGTTATGACACTTCCGTTGCATCAATAGTACCTCTCATAATACTGTGAATATAGACAAACACTTCTTCAATTCCTACTTCTGACTTGATGGCCCAAAGATTTTGCTGTCAACAGTACTCACCTACTAGCTCTAGCTTATGTTTGTGTTTTTCTATAGTAGAATTGTGCAGATTATAAATCGTATTCAATAAAGTGTGCTCACATCAAAATAATGTATTTATGTAGATGACATAAAATTACAAATAATGGTAATATACAAATTTCATTTAGTTTAATAATAGTAGTTGGTAGTAACATCACACATAATAATTAACAATTCCACCTAGACTTAATGTAACGCCTTTTTAATAGTACGTAGGATTCGACCTTATCCTAATACGGACCTATTTTTGTTTTATTATAACATTCGCATTTCCTTATCACAATATCATTCACAAATACAGCACCAGCTTTTTTTTTTACTAAAAAGTACTGAGCAATGTCAAACTTCAAGCCCTTCAGTTCTGGTTTGTTGCGCGTGTGTAGAAATTAAACCATTACATTGATCAAACAATTGTTAACAAGGAAAAACTACTCATAAAGAATTGTTGCCAACAACTAAAAACAAAAATGTTAGTATTGTTTTGAGAAACGACAAACTTATGTTAAAATTATAGTGCAATAAAAATACATTTGTTAATTTAATTGAAAGTTAGCAAACAACGTGCATTCTTACGTCATTTTTGATTTCTGTTGTAATACCATTAAATTACCAAATTAAATCTGGGAGATTTTTTTTTTCACTAAATACAATTGTGTAGATACAAATAAATGGACATGTAGAATAATTTCCTCGTCTTACAAAATGCAAATAGACAATTACTGATAAACCAAAAACAAAGTTCATCATTGTCACCAACATTGTTCACAGCAGACACGTGCTTTGTCCATTTCGAATGCGCCATTTTATCTCGCGTTGACAGTACTCACATTCAAAATGGATGAAACACGTGGCCACTACGAACAGTAGTTAGTTTGGATGAGTCTCTCTTTTTGGTTTATTAATTTCTTTTACCACAATCTCATTTTCCACATTATAATGACTGGTCTGTTTTCTAGTTAATTAATTGTAATATTATAATTAAAAATCAGGAATTACTTTCATCTAAAGAAATCCTAGAAAAAGGTGCATGTTTTTGATGAGTAGTTTTCTGAAGAAATCGCGGTTAGTACAATCCTTTATGTGTATTCTTCCATTAAAAAACAAATAATTACAATATTTACAAAATATTTGGTCTCCGCATAAACATAAAATATTATACAAATCTCTTTATCACAAGACTTCCTATATTTATAAAACATGGAACAGCGCTCTTGCTCTTGAAAAAGTAAAAATATTCAAAAGTTACATAATCCTACAATTATTGCAGATCAGTTATCACATAACGAGTATAAATGAGGCAATTTGAGTAAGTATATATATGTATGTATATATAAATATATATACTAGGTGATCATTGTTTGTTGTAATTAGTCCTTAAGATTATTATTATTTATTATTATTACCTATTTGTTATATTTAAGGACAGGACGGTATGCGAAACAAACTTTTATCTTTTTATTTCACCTCTTGATTTTTGTGGACCATATTAAATAAAGAGTGGTAAAATGTAAATCATATTTATGTATGAACACCTTGTATATCTGCTACTTCTATAAATAATTGTCCAAATAGTTAACTATATGTTGTCACATTAAAATCATACTCTTAACACGGCTAGCAAACATAATATTTCAATATTATATCATTCACTATTAAGGCAATCTAAAAAGGGTGTGTTCAATTTCGCATTACAGTAATAGGCTCGCGCATGAGCATTAAATTGAACGCAACCTAAAACCTTATTTTAAAAAGAATAATGGTGCACTAACTTTCCTTTAGAAGTATTTTGTTTTCATAAAACTATTATTGTGTATAAAGGATAAGAGAGCGAACAATTTAAATGATACACATTACATACGATAATGATTAACGAATATTTTGAGGTTATGTGGACTTGCGGACATGTAGAAGTCTTAAAGGCATTTTTCTATATATATAAAATGTATATATCGCAACATACAAGTAAACTGTCAAAAGTTATACTTTAAGAAGTTAAAATAATCATACATCTGACCGTGGTAAGAGTTGAAGTGTACCATAAAAACATTTTTAATATCAATACAATTTAGATCTAAGAAATACACAGTAGCAGCGGACAGCTATAATCAGAAAAGGGTAAGTTTGGGTTACACGTGTTGTTCTTAATTTTTTATAATCTAAATAGCGATTATATAAAAGCTGTACAGACATCAGAACACCAAGAATAATAAAGACCACAACATTAATTTTGGATACACGTTTTTTTTTTAATTGTAAAAGCTGTAATTGAATAAGTCTCTGTCCCTCCTAATATCTCTTTTTACATTTCGTTATTTTTGTGCATTCCAGCAAATAAAATAAAATATTAATTGCAAATACGATTACAAGCAAATACCATTGCATATATTTCGATTTCACTTTCTGTGAAAGTGAATATTTTTTTTTAATATCATCACTATAAATTATAATAAACTTTTCGACAACTGAATTTAGGTATCAACAGTTTTTTCAATCAAGAGGTGTAAAAATTTCAAAATATTGTGGACTTATTTTAATAATTTAAAAACAAAAAAGACTATAACGACTAGTCACACAATACAAACAAAAAATAACAATATGGGGCCGACTAATCAAAAAATCCAATAAGAGTGAATACAGACTTCTAACATATTAAAAAAAAAGGATAGTAGAATGTTACGTTATAGGTGCCAACATGATTTTTTCTGAAATAGTATATAGTATCGATTTGCAAAAATATTTTGTAGAAGGAATACCTACAGTGGTTGAAATTATTTTTACAACCATTTATACATACAATAACCACTCTTTTTGAGTCTAATGTAACAGTAAACTATTATATTGCAACTATGCAGGCTACTATACTTTTAGGAACACGTTTTTTCCTTATACGCTATTAACGTATACAGTGGCCAACAAAATTATATGGCCAACAGATTTTTAACTCTTCCCTCGATAAAGGGGGTTTGACGTGAATGACCTCACATCCACGTCTTTTTCTTCCTCTCCGTTACTTGCTTTTACTTCTATCATATTACAATAGCATGAAAGAAAAGAAGAGAATGCTGCGTCCCTGTGGAAGGGTATGAGCCAATTATGTGAAGAATGTGAATTAGCAACCACGCCTCTTTACTCCCACTCTACCATTTGTATTCTATAAAAGCGCGCATTTCTGAGCGTTCAGTTCATTTGAACTGCAGTACGAATTTAATGATATTGAGGGAGGCAGTAGCAGAAAGGGGAAAAACCTGTTGTAAATAAAATGCTGTTGGTCACCATTCAATAACGGACAAAAACGAAAATATGGAAGGACTGTATTTAGGACAAACCTGATCAAACAAGACGAAAAGGCACATTCATCAAATCAGTTAAACGAAACTGAAGTTTAACGTGTCTACCTGATTATTGTAAATAGTTTTAAGATACTACTCAGCATACGTAGCTGCTTAAAAAATAAATGTTTAACATCTCGAACTGTGTGGCGAAACCGGTTATTCAGTTTGTAGTAGGTAATAGTAATAGTAGTATTTGTCGTTTGAAGTTAGGTATATAACATTCTGTAACCAACTGACGACGCTTCTAGTTCTATTATAGTTAATGTTTGTATGTATATTGTATAAGTATATAATGTATATCAACTGTTTAAAATACCTGGAATGTACATATATAAAAAATAAAATCTGTATCAACGGGCAGGGTCCGATGTTAAACATTTAGGTACCATTTTGACAACATCAAACACCTACTTTACATTTTACAAACAACTTACACGTGGAATATATATCATAAAATATGAGGTACATTCATTTGGCACAATATAACTCGCAGGTTCGATGTAAATACAATTTGTTTGTTCTTTGTTTTCGCTAATTTTTTTTTTATTTTTGTAGTCTTCTCTTTTTGCCAAAAAAATTTCTTTCAAATGTCATTTATTTATTTTGTGCTTAATCTTATACGAAGGTAGTATTATTAACCGCCAAGTGACTAGCATTCTTTCATTTTCGTTGCATGGTAACTAGAATACCCGGTATTATTCCATATTAGAACTATACAGTGTTATCATATGAATAATATAGGTATATTATATAGGTAATTATTACTGAATGTACAAGGGGGAATTCCTAAGGACGTGTTGTGACAAATGCACCTCATTGCTAATTGCATGTGTCAAAATAACGATAAGGTACGACCAGATCAACCAATTCTAAAGAGAACATTAAAATTTTTTGACCCATGCTTTTTAAATTTACTTTGTACGAAGAAATGGTAATTTTTCGAGTAGGAATCTTTATCGTTTCTCGTCTTTTAGTTTTTGGTGTGAAAAAAATTGAAGCAATATCTGACAATTAAATCCATTTAGAAAATTTAAAACAATTGCAAGACGTAAACACACACAAATTTTAATAATACTACTCATCAGTTGTTTGCTTCAGTCGATCAAACAATGGAAAAGTTTAATTTTAGTTAAATCAGAATGCAAAAGAGGATATCTAATAGTGATTTCGTTTGTAGTGTTTACGTTCCGTTCAACTTTTCCATGATACTGATTATTTAAATGCTAGTTGTGTTTTAATTTCGACCTCCAAATATTGCGGGTCACGAGATTAGGGTGACACATAATGAAAAATCCATGCCATTCGGAAACCCCCGTACATCATTAAGTTACTTGGACTTGGTAACATACACCGATGACACCCTCCTGGACATTCTATACCTTAACGGGGAGCATGAATATGCGTTGTAAGATGTTTAGACAAGTAATCGGCTCTCGCAAAACATTTTCCGCACATGTCACAATGATAAGGTCTTTCACCAGTGTGAATCCTCAGGTGTCGTGTCAGATCGCTCTTACCTCCGAACGCCCTCCCGCAAAACAGACACACGAACGGTCGCTCTCCCGTGTGCTTCCTCACATGCAACTTAAGATTCTCCTTGGACCTCACACACTTCCCACAAAAGGGACATGCAAACCTTCGTTCTCGTTGTCTATCTATGGCATCGGTTCTTAGTAGACTCATCAAGGACGTTTCGGCGTTGCTTTTAATCATACTGGAACCCCCTCCACTAGAACCACCTCCCATGCCCGAACCTATAGAGTCTACCGTATCGTCTTGGTCTGCTTCGATTTTTTCTGCGTCGGAAACCGTTCCTTCACCAGCGTCGTCGCTTAACGTTTCTTTCTTTACGACTCCGTCATGGTCACTCTCATCCACTGTTATGGTCTCGTTCGAACTCGATACTTGATCGCTACTGTTCTCCATCATCCTTTCCCTCGGTATCGTGGCTTCTGAATCACTTTTACTTTCTCCTGATACGTCCGCTCTATTACCATGGAGTCGTTCCAAAGCATGATTGAGCCGATGTTTCTTGAAGGATTTCAAATACCTGAAAAAGGCCCTTATTTACACAACCATTTGCGTTCAATTTTTTTTAATTAAAGTAACATTACCTGAACTGCATCCCACATACGTCACAAGAAAACAACTTGTCAGCTGGTAATCGTGCCCTGTGGTTCTGTTCCCTGTGCTTCACGTACGCTGAACGGTATCGGTAACTTTGACCGCATTGCTCGCAAACAAAGGGCTTGTCTACAGTACTCAATGTGCTCATGTGTTGAAGAGCTGTGTGTTGCTCCAACAGCCAAACTGATGGAAAGGCAGCCATGCACACCGAACATCTGAACATTTCATCTCCAATTAAGGCAGGATGTACAAGACCTACTTCCAAAAGAGATGAAGCTAACGTGGGAAAGGGCAGGACAAAAGGGGTTGAAGACCTGCTGCTGTGTGCACTCGACGGACGATCGAAGCTAAAGTTGCGGTCTGGATCAAGTAGATTCTGAAAAGGAAGATATATATGTACTCAGTTCGAATCTACAACCCGTTAATAGAGAGTTTAAAATCGATATGGTATGTTGTTTGTTTCTTAAAACTAAATGGAACTTACTTTCTATTTTACCTTCAACAACTGATTCAAGTCTACCTTTCTCGGTATAAAACAAGTGTACCGTATAATATTCAAACAAATAAAGCCTTAATACAGTCGAAGTTCACAAAATTGTTATATCCTTTATCCTTTCGTCCCACTGACCATCATTTGTTCATAATTTCGCTTTCACAGCCATTGTATGCGGCCATTTTGATTAAATATTGAAGGTTATCTATCAAGTCTTCGAAAGTCTGATTTATCTGATCTGGCAATTGAAAAGGACTTATCCATTAAAAACAAGGAGGTATAAGAAAGAATAGGAAAACAGGGGTCACTGTGGAAATCAATAAGAAATAGGCAAGATAGGTTGGTAGGACACCTTCTCAATCAAGAAGGGCTAGTTAGAAACATATTAGAAGCAGGAATAGGAGTTAGGAGGAATAGAGGTAGACCTCGATTAGATTATTGTTCAGCAATAATTAAGGATGTGGGATGTCCTAGTTTTAAGGAAATGCGAAGATTACCTCAGGATAGGAAAGAGTAGAGGTATATGTCGAACTAATCTTAGGACTGACGACCTTATAATGATGAGAGACATCATCGGAAAAATTAAGGACATGATGCCTGACCCTTCATCGTTTTCTTATGAGTGTTTACTTCTTAGTGAAAAGCAACCTCAGGTAATGTTTGGTTCAGATACATCACCAGAATCTGTACGCTAGCGCCAGTGAGATTTGAACCGCGGATAAATACATATTTACTGTGTTCTGACGCACCACAGTATGTGTGTGGATATCCAGGAGTGGCAAGTTTACATACACGCTTGTTTCAAACGATGGAAGCCAAAGAAGCTATATGATCATTGTTTTTATAAAGAAAATAATAAACCGACAATGGCGACATTGTCTGCTTGCGACTAACATACTTCAAATTAAGAAGGCATGGGTCAAGATGAAGTGACTGATTTTAGATATATAGAAAGTCAGATAAGTCAGGACGGAAGAAGTAGTAGGGATATAAAGCAGAGGATAACGTAGGGTCGGGTCGCCTTCAATAAAAAGAAGTTACTTCTATACATAGACGGTGGGCGCTGCGGAAAAGAAGCGTTCAAAATGTGGTGTTACAGGCGAATGATGAGGACACCGTGGATAGGGAAGGTTAGAAATGAAGAGGTATTAGAAAGACTAGAAGAACAGAGGACTCTGTGGAAGTCAATAAGAAGTAGGTGAGATAGGTTGGTAGGACACCTTCTCAGGACTGAAGGTCTAGTCTGAGACATATTACAGGCAGAAACAGGAGTTAGGAGAAGTAGAGGTAGACCTAGATTGGATTACTGTTCATAAATAGTTCAGGATGTAGGATCTTCTAGTTTTACGGAAATGCGAAGATTAGCTCAGGATAGGAAAGAGCGGAGGTGCATGTCCAACCAGTCTTAAAACTGGCGAACTTATGATGATGATGAAAGGCCTAGACGAGCCAATTATTTGAGAATATTGGTTTGATCCATGGTGATACAAGTCTGAATGTATCATGAAGTCGAGTCTAAAGTATCCCTAAAATTCTTTGCCAATTGAATTGCACAATATTGTTTATAAAATTGCTTCGTTTCTTTAATGTTTTCATGATTGATTGTAAATATTATACATATGCAATTAATTTAATAATGTTGACCTGTGTATTGGTTTTGTAACATGATCTATTGTAGCCGGTTCGGGTAAATTGCGGAACAAAATGCTTTGTATCAGAAAAAGCAAAAATCCACTGTAGCTGAGATTCAGTAAAGTCAGTAATTTTCATCTACTTTGCCTATCATGTGCTCCAAACGTATAATTTACTAAATTACCTTTTAATCTTCGTAGAAAACACGAGTCCGCCGCCTACGAACGTTAATACAAAGAACAAAAATTCTGCGGCGGTCACGCATATTCAAACAAATAAGGCACGCACATTTTATATAAAAAAAATAAATAAGGGAGATCGATTGTGAGAAAGCATATCGTATTATTCTCCTTCTTATTAATCGAAATAGGTATCTATATAAATACATTTAACGAAAATAATTTGAATGATTAATAATAATAAAGTACATAGTGTATGAACACTGCCTTACAACCTTCATACTTGACTTTATTATTTTCCTTATTTTCAAAATTAAATAGTATACTATTCAACATAAAAAGTTAGTGTGCATGTAGACATTAAGCAAACATAGGTGTAACAGGTAATTAACTGCCAATAATGGTAAAAAAATCATGAAATTCAAATTTATCGTTTTATGATATTCTATCATATGCCATTATTTAAGCAAAATTCAATAATTGTCAGTTACAAGAAGAATAGAAAACAATTCACGAAAATAGAACATTTTTAACCAAAGACAATAGAAACGTCTTCTTGAACAAAAGTAAACAAATTTTTTGCAAATATTAAAATAAATTTCGTTTTTAGCGTACCGTGAACAAACGGCAACAATGAGCCTAGCATCCTTGGTAGATAATGCAATTTTTTCTTAATTTGATACTGATGGGCTAAGCAAAAAACATGACCATGACTGTTACAGTTTTGGTCTAGCTTAATATCTCGGTCTTGGTCTTGACCTTGCGTGTTAGGTCTTGATCTTCCTCATTTAAACTGATACTTTAACTTCAAACATCGAAAAGAGATGTCAGGTGGGAATTGCAGCGGGCACTAATTAGAAAAAGGAATAACATTACACCTATTGATGTGTAACAGAAAGATATGCAGACAAGTAGAATTAGTGCATGTTGCCAGCATCGAACAAAAGTTCAACATTCTCAGGAATTTAGGAAAGCAAAGACGTCTGTTTAATGATATAATTCCAATCAGACAGTTATAAATCCGACCCTGATTTTTTACGTACCTAAGCAACCTCTAGCCGCGCACCGTTTCCTATTATTCGGTTATCTCTTTTCATATTATACTACTCACAAAGCATTTCCTAACGTATACTTCGTTTACTTTCTGTAGCGATGTGACCTTCAGTTTGACCGGTGCAAAGTAGAAAAGAACAGCACTAGACCAGAAAAGGAAGGAGACAACTCTCGGCCAAACTCTTAACCGATGAGGAACGTATAATCCGTACAGTACTGCACGGAAAAATTGACCATTCAATCCACTTCAATTGCATTGCTCAAATGTGCTGTTATTGGTACTATTTACTACTGAAAATATCAACGAGATGTTTATTTATATTTGAAGACATATTACAGACTTTAACGCTTGTTTTCGACTAGCACTACTATTCATAATTGAACAAAACTTTTGGCAGGTACTGTATCAAAAAGTATGTTTAATGAACAAGAGTCGAGAGTACAATGAGCATCTAAGACATTGGAAGGGGCACATCGCTAGAGAAAGTAAATAAAGTATAACAAGGGCGTGTTCAAAACTCAGCAAATTCTACGGTCCCAAGTGAAAACAAGAACGGAGGTACGTCTATCCTTATCAATAATTTATTGCGGACTTTACCAATTTTGATCGTACCAACTGTACTTATGGTATTCATTGATTTCTAATGGAATTCATAAGTAAAAATATGCATCTAAACAACGAACTGGTTTGGGCAGGTCAGTTCTAAAGGAAATACCTAACTTTATTTGTCATTATTGTCTACGCTACTAACTACTCATTGCACATTCACTTGCAAATAGAGCCTATTTTTAGATAATTTATACTTACGTATTAGTCTGTTCGAAATCAACTGATGGGTTGTGGTAGAACAAATATGAAGAACTGCAATATTTTAAATACGTCCAAACAACTTTTAAAATAACTTTCAGGAAAAATGTTGAAGGTTTTGGTTTGTCCACCAAACGAGAATATTATATAACGGAAACAACAACAACACAAACTAAAGATGAGGGTAAATTAAATTTATAAGTCATACGCGCTTCAGCATGTCATTATTTCAAGAAATCCAAATGTCAAACCCCAAAACATTTTGGCTTCTTCAAGAGGATTACCACGTGAAGTAAAAGAACAAATTAACCAAAAGAGTATGGGGCTTTGTACTAATTGACACTAATAAATTCGAATCCAGCATCAGAATTTGTTTAGCTCATCAAGATTTTGAAATGAATGACATAACCTTATATCCAAATTATAGTAATTTCGTTTGTGTGAGGCGAATGATGAGGATACCGTTGATAGACAATGTTAGAAATGAAGTATTAGAAAGAAAATACTACAAACGGCGCAGTAAACGCCATCTGTAGCACGATGCTAGATTTTAGGATTACGTATGCTCCAACAAGGTCCACTTGTGTGGATATCTACTTGCTGAAAACGAATCCCGGCGTAGCCAACCTCAACGTGATAGGCACGTTAGCTTAATCGAATAAAATAATTCGAAGTGGTCTGTATT